GGATTATTGTTTACATTCACACATGGTCCCATCCTATTTTAAACCTATAGGCTGAACAAACGGATGCTGAACATATTGTGGCCTTTCCCATTGAATCGTGTGAAGTCTCGCCTGGCTTTGTTAAGTGTGAATCTGTGGCGTGTGGGAGATAGAGGTGTGAAATCTGAAATGACATACAGTTAATGCATGTAATGATAAAGCTGAGCAAACATCAATGCGCTTTATTAGAAATCCACAGGGAAACCATGGCAACGATGAAAACAACAGATGTCTTTAGCAACAGGAAGAAAACTCCATGGATTTTATCTGTGAAGGACTGAATCAATCTTTTATTTCACTAAAAGTACATGTTTTGAATGTTTTTCCAAGTATAGACTATATGTTGTACTTTCTTAAATTTGAGAATGTTCAGAATAAATGAACTCTAACTGAAAGCACTACTCTGTTAGTTGTTTTTTTTCGGCTATGTTTGCTAATGTGTGCATTGTGTCATATGGTAACTGTTAAACATTCTGCCGGTAGAAATACATGTAGAACACCCACTGCGTGATTTCACTGCAATAATAACTAAAAGTGTGACTAAAATTACATAACATTTTGCTGAGTAAAACTACTGAAACTGCTTTAATCAAATCATAAAACTATAAATCAGTGAAAGGAATGAGTGGACAAGATTCAATTTTTTAATCCCAGAGCCCCAAACCAGCCTATTAACAAACTCAGCATCTATCTTTTATCATAATTAAAATTTCTTAATTAAATCTTGACTGAAACTAATACAAGTTTTAGTCAAATGGCAAAAAGGTGAAATTAAATAGTTTTGTCAAAATGAACACTGGTCCAACTTTTCGATACCAAGGAATAGACTCGATACTCAATACTGATCCTGGTACCACTAAGATAATTAATCTTAATTTAGAAAATAGAATGTGATTTTCACATTTCCTGTATTTTTCAGACTATAAGTCGCACTTTTTGGGGGACATTTATTTTATCAAATCAAAGACCAAGAACTGACATTTCATCTTGAAAGCCAAATTATAGTAATAACAATAGAACAGAGAACAACTGACTGAATAGGCGTCTGGTATGTTAACGTCACATATGAACAGTTCTTCAGATAACCATAGCATAAACACTCATAGCATAAAATCTCACTCCAAATCACTTAATCCGTTGAATTCTTCATCCTCTGTGTCAGGCTCAGCCAACTGTGCGGAGGTAACCAGAGCACCGCTTCCTCTTCTGTGTAGCTGTCGTCAGGCTCAGCATCAGTTCCAGTTAGAATTATTCTGGCCTTTTTGAATCCCGACAGGATGGTTTCAGTGTCACTGAAGTCCAGGCTTTGTCCATTCATTCAGTGACTTCCAGGAAAGTTGCATGGTGCACCCGTCTGGTTACCATGGAGCTGTGTTCTCCATCCCCGCTCACCGCCAGTCCCTCACAAGTTTCTCGCTCACTCTAAACTTCCTTTCTGCTGCTCGATTCCATTTTTGGCTGCATATTTCACTACTTGCACCAGGACAGAGGCCTTTTCTGCAGGAGACATGTGCAGTAGGGCTTGAAGGGACAGCGGTACAGTAGTAGCAGATACTGGCACACAAGCCTAAAGCGCCCTCTCGCGGCTGTCAGGGTGAAAATTTGGATATATAAGTCACACTGGAGTGTAAGTCGCAGGAAACACCCAAATCATGAAAAAAGTATGACTTATAGTCCGAAAAATACGACACTAGTCTATGTGCTCTTATACTTGCTCTGATACAGCTCAAGATCATTCTAAAGCTATTCAGGAAAGGATCATTTCTGTCCTGTGAATGTGACTTTTTTAGTATCAATACCTGTATCTAGTTTTGATTCTAGTTTTAGTATCGATTAGCTGCTGATTTTCAATAATTTTGACAACCATACTCCAGACATAAGGCTCTATCCATTAAAAGTGCGTTATCCATATTTGCACACTCACACACACTCATGCACACTCACAAGTAGGCGTCCTTTCTCTGTGGGGACATTACATTGAGGTTAGGAGCAGTCACCTTGAAAATAATGCAATCTTCCTGGTGACTCATCCTAACCTTTGCCATAATAAATACTTGCCTGACGTTAACCCTACCTTTTACCAAGAATAACACATATCAAAAAAGGACCTATATTACACTATTTTCTGATCTATGTTAAAATGTTGTTTCCTCACCACAAACATACTTGGAGATGTGTTTTGTTTCATTCATACATGTTTAACACAGAAATCCTGCATATTTAGGCTGAGCTCTTCTCTCAAACAGCTTACACCTTGTGATGTCATGTGGTAATACAGGAAGTGCTCCACTGTGTTTTAAAGCTCCATACACTTTCACTAGGATCATTTGGAATCTCCAATCTCCAAAAAAGTAGCTGTAAACTTGAAAACTACTACTACATGACATCACAAGGTTCAACAGAGCATTTTGAGCATTGGAAATGTGGACAGACTAATAATAAAGGGTTACTCCAACATGTGTGAATCAAACAAAATACAACTGCAGGTTTGTTTTTGAGGAGGAAACAACATTATAACTTAAAAACTCACAAGAGTCAATTTTCTGTTATATGGGACCTTTAACTTCAAACTATGACGCTGATCTAATATTGCAACACACAAAGTAAAAAGTCCCCACGAATAGACTGTGTATACAATTTTATCTGACCTTACAAAACATGTTAAAATTTCTTGTTATCCCAATACGAAAAGGTTGAAAAATTATTTATGATTGCCTCTATATAAAAAAAAAACTAATCAGCAATAACACTTATAATTAAAGTTAATGAACAGGATTGACGCAACGGCTGCACTTTTTAAAATGGTCCCAAAGCATGATGCATTCTGGGGAATATTTAGAGAAAGTCATTGACGCAGATATTTCTAGACCAATAAAAGACCCTTAAATATCTGTGGTCCTCGTGTCCGTAGAGAGTATGAAAAGCATAATTGAGCTGAACTACAATGAGAGTCATTCTCCTGTGGTGGACAGTGACAGAGGACAGAGAGACTGAATTGAGAACAGGCTCATAAACTGGGCTAATGGTTCCAATTGGCATTACATTATAATAATGGGAAATTCTATTCTCATTCTATTCTAAATCTATGAGAAATTTAGTAAAATCAATTAAACTTTAGTGGAATGAGTACACTTATATTATAGGCAAAAAATAAAGACAGAGTTTGTTTACAAATGTTGCAGATTCATATTTGTGAGTTGAGTTCTAAATATTATCTGGGTTGAGTGCCATGACAAGTATTTGAATCTGATAATCATCATAACAGCGAAACAAGATGAAAAATCTAACTTTTGTTACATCCACTTGAGAGAAGCATCTTCGCTGTCCACAAATGCACAGAGCTCTTACTTTCTGCACGTTTTTCACAAACTACCATATTTTATCTATAAGTCACACCAGACTTTTTGGGGAAATTTATTTTATAAAATCAGAAACCAGGAACCAACATTTCATCTTGAAAGGCTATAGTAATAACAATAGAACAGAGAACAACAGGCTGTTAACGTCACATATGAACAGTTCTTCAGATAACTATAGCATAAACAACAGAACAGAACAAGTTTACCAAACTCTCCATCTCCAAATCACTAAATCTATAGAATTTTTCATCCTTGGCGCCACTTCCTCTTCTGCGTAGCTGTCATCAGACTCAGCATCAGTTCTAGCACCACTTTCTGAAGCTATTGTGCGTGCGCTATTGTTTTTATATTGATAGAGAACTTAGAGTGTTAGTTTTTGTTTTAGGCCCAGTAATTATCGAGATATTAACCATAACCCAGGTCAACAAGTCTGCAATCTGACAGTTAAACACCAAAATCCAGTGTAGTTCTCCAGCTCAGTTTTAGACTATAGGGATTCGAAACAATTGACATGGACACAACCTGTACCTATATTTAGACTTCAGTTTGGACATGCAGCTGTACCTGATCCTCTGCCCACTCCCATCCTTCCTGGGCGACTCTGCAGGACTAGACCGTATGAGATTAATGGATTGGTCTTAATCCAATTGGCAGAAGTCCACAGAGCGTGAGCTGTGTGGTGCCAGGGGAGTCTATGGCCTTTACTGCACCCCTGAGCTTAGGCCAACAGTGTGTTTCCTTAGCCTTTAAATGTTGGACCATTCACCAGACTGTTCACGTGTATATTATGGGATTAGGTTTTGTTGGCTTTCTAGTTTGACCTTGTTGTGTATGTGACTAATCTGTTCTAGGTAGGCCTATTATTTATCATTTAATGTATGGATGCTGAACAGAGATTTTGTAAACTTTAGGCAACAGGTTGGCCAAAACAAAATATCAGCCCATGCTGGTGATATAAGGTGTGCTAGCGCCTCCTACCTGTGTGGCGTCAGTAACGTCCTTTTTGACCAATCAGAGCGAGAGCTCCTAGAGTGCAGCTTGTTATGGCGCAACAATGAAGGGACCCAAAAAATGGACTGCAGACCGGTTCACAAAATGAAAAATTAGAATTTATTTTACAATGGGCTGAATGCAGGCAGAAGCAGGGCTTTGAGCAGGGCAGAGGCAGGGCTGGAACAGGGCTGGAGCAGGACTGGAAACGGCAGGGATCACGTGTGTAGGTAGAAAACAATCTTGCTTGCAGGTGAGGAGAATTAAGGTCCAGGAGACTCCGCCCACACACACGCACAGGGAAAAGAGGGAGGGGAGCACCAGTCATGACACAGCTCATGCCACAGTAACCCCAGCACCTCCAGTACCTCCAGTACCTGCAGCGGCCACTAGTTGGTCTCACCATAGTTTTACCCAGTTTTTATTATAGATCCATGATCAGCTTTGAGGACTTTCACCATTCAAAAGATATTTGGTTTTAAATTGTTAATTGCTTTGGAAACAGTCCTAATTTCTGACACCCATGGATAGTTTGATTAACAAAGTCTGTTTAAATAAAGAGCTCTAAAATCATATAAAGCATACAATGAACCTGTTTGTGTTTGTGTGTAGGACCTGGGGATGGAGTCGACTTCTCTGGATGATGTTTTGTACCGATACGCCAGCTTCAGGAACCTGGTGGACCCCATCACACACGACCTGATCATCAGCCTGGCCCGATATGTGCACTGCCCCAAGACGGTACAGAGCTCTCACACTCAAACACACACAACTCTACAACAGCCAAACACTTCTTCAAATGTCAACATGTCCTATTGGGATAAACAGAAAGCATGATTCAGTGTTCATGTCAATCAAACTATATGCAAGAATAAGTGCTAGTGGTACTGGTAGGAGGAGGACATGCTGAAGTCTCTGATGGTTAGGACAAGTTTTGCCATTCTTGATTCTAATGTGATGAAACATGATGACAGTTGCCATAGCAATTAACGATTTTAAACATACTATATCAAATGGAAAGTCTTCAAAATCTAACTGGAAGCTTTTTTTTCCTTAAAATCAAAATTGAGTTTGAAATTTGAGCATCATTGTTTGCAATTTTAGTGCCATGGTGGTAACTTTACACACATTTTCTATTTTCAACTATTGCTACCTACCTAGGAATACTTTCAAGTTCAGTACTAGAAGTATATTGTTTATCAGTGACAATTTAGTCTGGTTAACAGGATCTGCTTTATATTTATGAGGATTGTACTGGTACTGGTATCGAATATCAGCACCGATACTGAAAAAAAAGTTTGATTGAGTATTGGTTCCATGAAATCGGTTAGTCCTTTAATTTAGAGATTTAGACAAACTTTATTGATCCACAAGGGAAATAACTTTGACACAGTAGCTCACACAATATAATATAATATAATATAATAACACAGTGTAAAAAATATAAATGGTAATAATACATTCTAAGTATCTAAAAAGATAGCAAGAGACTGGTGTCAAATATGGCATAATTATATAAATGTATATGTACAAGTCAAAATAAAATAGAAAAACAAGTACTACAAAATCTCAGCCATATACAAGAGGTCATAACGAAGACAAAGATGATAAATTGATGTAATAAGATTATTTACAGGGTGATTTTGGCCTCAAACATCTCAGAATTCATACAAATCTGTTCAGTAGTGATTTGATAAATAACAGTAGCAGAACACAATCAGATCTGTGTGTTATAAATTAACAGCTTTAAGAAAATAAGAGCCATTTTCCATCCCTACAGTCTTATTTTATTGGTTAATATCGGGTATAGATAAACACAAAGTATCATTATCAGTACTGGAACTGAAATAGCTGAATCTGATTTTACCTTGGCACTCAGGTATAATAAATGCTGCCGTAGTGATATGTTGTGACCCTGTTGCACTGATTTGCTGTGCCCTTGTATTTTTGCACTATGCCATGGAGCTAGAGGCTGATATCACAGACGCATGAATAATGCAGAGAGGAAGGAGCCATAATGGACAAGTGAATTAAAACTCCTTGTGTGTAACTGTAGTGTTGCCTGTTAAAAGCCTTCAGTCGTTACAGCCATTAGTAACACTACATAAATCTGACAAACAATATCAGCATAGTTTTATTGGCAATTATTGTATTAATAATTGGTTTATCTTATATCATATCATTTCTGACATATACTTGTGTTACGGGCTGCTTTTGTCAGGATTAGCTTTAGAAATTTGACCAGTAGTTTCTTGTCTAAAGCATGTTTATTTTTTCACAATATGTATTTATTTTATGATGTTTTCCACCCACCCCCATGCTGAAACAAACAACTTTACACTATTAACAAATATTACAGAAAAAGTATGTAAATGTATTAATTTAAAGAGAAAAAAATACGTACAAAAGGAAACAAAACAAATGCATTTTCACCATTATTGCTTCTTTCTTTGACCACTTTTGATGCAAACTACAGCAAACTAGTAACACCACATGATCTGTACTAAACCAAGTCTTACCCAGAACTATTAATTTTGCCAGTCCATTGAAAAAGTGCTAAAATGTGCTTGTAAATGTTGTGATTTGGTTCCACTACATAACGTGGGACCCCTCTCTCTGTAACTGCTGCTGAGAGACTTGTCATTTTTTTTGCCTAATATGGAACTTTCCAACTTTGCTCCTATGAACTTCATTTGACTGGAGCCGAATGCCATGGGTGACATCAGGCTCACTTAGTCTACAGTCTATGGGCAATGAACAGAGTCTCCTTTTCATGATTCATAGATCATTTTTTGAATCTCATTTTCAATGCAGCGTCTGATACATTTCCTCTGGCCGCACCTTTCAACTGCAGAGTTCATGACGGTCCACTTAAAAGAGGAAGCAGCTGTCTCCACCTCAAAGTACACACAAGGCCCATCCAAATCAGTTACCACAGAGATTGAACAAGTTCCACAATTACATGACCACTGAAAGATAGGGCTAATACTTTGATTGATAAATAATAGACAAGTATTACAATTTTTAAACATTTTTCACCAATTCAGTTTTTTGTTTTGTGTGGATTAGGGATGAAACAATATATATGTGTATATATATATATATTGTTATTGTGTGTTTTAAATATGTTTTAGGCTTGTTTTTATATTATACTTAATTATCAATAAACATAAAATTTTGCCTGGACGAATCCAGACTCATATGGAGCTGTATAACAAATACAGAGAAATATCCTTCTGGATTTCCAGGCAACATTAAATTGCATTCAATTGCACTTTCTGTTTTCTATTCAAATATAGCAGAGTTAGGCCTTTATGGAGATGTCAGTGTATCTACAAAAGTATGGCACTGAAGTAATGACATAGAGTTTTAGAATCTGAAGTTTAATTGAACTCAATCTAATTATAAAGAACTAACTTGAACTGAACTGAACTGAACCGAACTTGACTGAAAAAATGTTGATATTTAGACTCCTAAACAGGAGCGCTCATATTGCTCACAGGCTCCTGAAAATGTGTTGTTTAAAATCCATTTTGTATTTTCTATTCTTGAGTTTTCAGACTTCTTAAAACCTTTTTGGCTGTGTTTGCTAATGTGTGCATTGTGTCACCATGGTACCGAAACATTCCACCAACAGAGATACATGTAGAACACCCCCAGCGTGAAGTCACTGCATAGTATCAGTTGTGAGGGTGATATTGAACATTTTGATATTAGTATGGTTGCATCCCTAGTGTGGCTTGAGGTTCATAGAAAATTATTTTAAAAGGACTAGTATAAGCCTAAATTATACATTGCATTGTTGAACCAAAGTCACAAAGACACATATTTTTCATATTTAATCGTATGTTTTTTTGGTGTTAGGCTGTACTAATGACTAACTTTTAAGCCTACTACAATTTTCGGTTCACATTTACTTTTAATAGCTGCTTTAACGCTGCTCTACTTAGCTGAATCGTTTCTCTTTGAGGTTATGCCCTGCCCTCTCTATCTGCAGGTTTTAGATCAGATGTCTTAATATTATGAACTTAACTTTTCTCGTCTCTAATTTGAGTTTCTGGGAACCATAGAAACGGGTCTATAGGCTGTTCCTAAGCAACAAAGGAGCTCAGGTTTGGTCTCAAGAGGAGACACTTTAACATTAAGAAACTCCAGATTCTTTTAGGTCTAGTTCTTCACAAGAAAGTGATAGATCACTCAGAGTCTCAGTTTGATGATATATTAGGACTGTTTTCATAGTAATTAGTTATTTAAAATGATAATATCTTTCAAATACTGAAAAGTGCTCAAAATGGTGCCTATAACCAGGAAGCTGAATCGTTCAGTGATCTTGTATTCTAAACCATGAAAGTACTGGATGAAAGTAGGAAAATTGCTGGAATTTTCCAATGTACCATTTTTTTTTTTAACTCTTAAGTCGATCAGGTCTATAAGTCGCACCAGCCAAAAAAATGCGTAATGAAGAAGAAAAAAACATATATAAGTTGCACTGGACTATAAATCACACATTTTGGGGGAAATTTATTTTATAAAATCAGAGACCAAGAACCGACATTTCATCTTGAAAGGCAAGTTATAGTAATAACAATAGAACAGAGAACCACAGGTTGTTAACATCACATATTAAGAGCTATTCAATATACATAACAAGTTTACTAAACTCTCCATCTCATTCCAAATCACTAAATCCATTGAATTCTTCATCCTTGGTGTCACTCTGAGCAACTCCCCAACCTCCGGAGGTAAAAAGCATGACGCTTCCTCTTTTGTGTAGCTGTCGTCAGACTTAGCATCAAGTCCAGTTAAAATTATTCCGGCCTTTCTGAATCCCGACAGGATGGTTTCGGTTGTCACTTAAGTCCAGGCTTTGTCCATCCATGCAATGACTTCCAGGAAAGTTGCATGGCACACCTTTCCGGTTACCGCAAATCTGTGTTCTCCATCCCCGCCTTTTACCAGTCCCTCGCAAGTTTCTCGTTCACTCCAAACTTTCTTTCTGCTGCTCGATTACTGTTTTTGGCTGAATGTCACTACTTGCAGCAGGACAGAGGCTATTTCTGCAGGAGACATGCACAGTAGGTACAGGAGTAATAGGAGTAGCAGAGACACAAGCCTAGAGCCTGTCACGCCTGTCAGTGTGAAAATATTAATATATAAGTTACATCGGAGTATAAGTCACAGGACCACCCATGAAACCATGAAAAAAAGTGTGACTTATTGTCCAAAAAATATGGTTGTTTAAGTTCAAGTTAACAGCTACCTTTTATCTTTTGTTCAGAGGAAATTGACAATTCTAGGTCTGAAAATATCCAAATGATTCTAATGAAGGCGTATGGTGTTTAAAAACACAGTGGAACATTCCTGTATTACCACATGACATCACGAGATGGAACAGAGTGTTTTTTGTTTGAGAGAATAACTCAGCCTAAAACTGCAGGGTTTGTATGTTAAACATGTGTGAATGAAACAACACACAACTCCAGGTCTGTTTGTGAGGTTGTGGGTTCAATCACCTGGTTACCGTCAAATCTGTTCTTCCTGTTACTATTTGGTTTGTTGTGATTTCTTCTGTATTAAATGATAGACTTTTACCTTGCTTAGCTTTGTGGTTGTATTTCACCTCTGCGTTCTCCAGATTTCAGGGGTTTTCAGCAGCTTTTCAGTAATCTGCTCTTTATTCATCCTTTAATCTCTCCAGAGCTCAGCACTGAAACCTGCCTCCTCTCACTGTAAGATCTTTT